CTGACCCCACCTGACTCTACCTGACCCCACATGACCCCACCTGACTCTACCTGACCCCACATGACCCCACCCGACTCTACCTGACCCCACCTGACCCCACCTGACTCTACCTGACCCCACCTGACCCCACCTGACTCTACCTGACCCCACATGACCCCACTGAGCACACACACGCATAAAACATCATTTCGTCTCTACGAACAACAACAACAGCAAAAATGATAACAATACATGATGATGTATTTTAAAAGTCTAAGGGTTGAATTTGTGTTCAAAGATATTTAAATAACAAATAAGAACTATTAGATGAATGATTCGTAAAATTCACCAAACTGGTAGTTTCAGCTTTAAAAAAAACAACACATAATTACTTCCAGTAGCTGGTCAACATATAAGTACAAAATATGTTTTAATATAGAAGGCAACTCTTTGGTTGAAGAATGTTTATTTTAGCAAAACACTTTAAATCCTCTCATCGTGAACAGTATGGAGTCTGTCTTTAAATCTTTTCACCGTGAACAGTATGGGGGTGCGTCTTTAAATCTCTTCAACGTGAACAGTATGGGGTCTGTTTTTAAATCTTGTCAACGTGAACAGTATGGGGTCTGTCTTTAAGTCTGTTCATCGTGAACAGTATGGGGCTGTCTTTAAATCTGTTCATCGTGAACAGCATGGGGGTCTGTCTTTAAATCTGTTCAACGTGAACAGTATGGGGTCTGTCTTTAAATCTTGTCAATGTGAACAGTATGGGGGTCTGTCTTTAAATCTTGTCAACGTGAACAGTATGGGGGTCTGTCTTTAAATCTTGTCAATGTGAACAGTATGGGGGTCTGTCTTTAAATCTTGTCAACGTGAACTTTGTCAACGTCAACAGTATGGGGTCTGTCTTTAAATCTTGTCAACGTCAACAGTATGGGGTCTGTCTTTAAATCTTGTCAACGTCAACAGTATGGGGTCTGTCTTTAAATCTTGTCAACGTCAACAGTATGGGGTCTGTCTTTAAATCTTGTCAACGTCAACAGTATGGGGTCTGTCTTTAAATCTTGTCAACGTCAACAGGATGGGCTCTGACTTTTAGGGTGCACAGTTTGGTATACCGACCATTACGTGTACGGAATTGTGTGCAAAGCGAGATTTAGATATTTGTTTACATTAATAAAATCATTGCAATAAAATTTAAAAAAATTAAATCAAACTTTAAAATGTACATTTCTGTTTGAGATTATTTCCATGTGCAAATTAGATGGTTAATAAATGACGTCATCTCCTGGAGGGCACAGAGAGCTTTTCAGTTTTCAGTCTTCTATCTGTCTTCCTATCAGCACGTGTCTAAATGATGATGGCATCGAACCACTTACTTCCGCCTGTAAGGGTTAGTGTCTAATGAGGAGTCGTGATTGGTCGTTTGATTTTGGTCAGGAAGTTTTTCCCCTGATGAATAGAACCAATAGCAACACAAATAAAAGTGATAGGGTCAGGAAAGTTTTAGAATTAAACGATGGCCAGTTTGAATCTTCGTTATGCCTCTGTGATATAAATATGGGGATCCAAATATTTATGGTTTATTTTATGAAAACAGATTTGTAGGGGTTTTGCCTTTTAAAGATTTGTGCGAAACATTTTTGTTATGATCGGGCCACTCAACTTTAGTAGTAATCTCCTATCCACCAGGTTCCAATAATTTCCTACCCACATGGTTCGAATGTTTTCCTAAACAACATGTTTTTAATACTTCTGTACCCTTCTGGTTTGTATACCCTCCTGCCCACATGGCTCTAATCATCTCGTACCCACCTGGTTTCAAGACCGTGTAGACGGTCTCCATGCCGGCGAAGATGTGATCCATCACGTGACAGTGTAGGAGCCAGGTGCCGGGGTTGTCAGCGGTCATCTCGACGGCCTCGGCCATGCCGGGGAAAATGTGAATGACGTCAGCCCTGTGCTTCTCGCTGGAGTGGATGAACGTGTGTCCGTGGAGGTGAATGGTGTGAAGGTCAATCTGTTTTTAAAAAAATAATAAGTACATGAAATTATGGAAATGGACTGGGAATAGTGTTCAAAGACAGTAAATGAAAAGATTGAGAGAATAGAAGAGTAAATGTGTACAGTGAGAAATGCAGTGGAGAAAGACACTACCGTGACGTATGTGGCCACTCTCCAACATGATTACCAAGCATATCAACGGTGTATGTAAGGGACATAATTATTTTTCGTTCTCCTGCTTAGATTTTCAAGTGCTTATTTTTAAATTATTTTTTTTTATATCAAGCGAGGGGGTCATACTTTTCCCCTAAGTTATCGTCGATTATAGACATAAAAATTGAATAGCTCTAGTTGTATCAGCTCAAAGTCAACTTGAATACCGTAATGCTGGACTCAGACGAAGTTCATTAGGCCTAATTATCATGTTCATGATTTTTATATTAATTGTTTACAACAAGGAAACTTTATAAATTGTCAATGTCAAGGGGCGACCTGGAAGTGCATTGCCATAAAGTTGATCCTTATGATGAACAACTGTAAATAATTTTAGAAACAAGAGAAAACAGAGAAACAAAATATATTTGAAAGACAAAGGTCAAAAGTGGTTCATAAAAAACCTAAATTTGAGGCTACAATTTTTAAAATTATTATTTTAAAAAAAAATTATTTAAATAATTCAAAAATAAAAGGGGAAGCTACCTGCGATCCAAGCACCATCATGTACCAGACGATTCTCTCCCCGTACTCAATGACCAAGTTGTTGTCGTTGTTGCCATAGAGACGTCCATTAATGGCGTGCTTCTTATTGCTTTCCTCGAATTCGGGGTCACTTCTAAACAAGATTGATACTTATTTGTTTGGAATATATATATTTTTAAACTTCAAATCCTCAAAAACATTAAATCAAAACAAATGCAAAATTATAGCGTTAAAGGCAAGCAAAAATTCAATCTCATGCGGAGATGGGGCTTTAGTGTAATCTCTACATAGCCAGGAGGTCACTGCACCTTTTTTAACAGTGCATATCAACTCTGAAAGGGGCGTAGGGTATCTAACAATAATATCTCCGTACTCAGTCAGGAATGTACGTAAACCTATCTAGGATGTCTTCGCACTAAAACTGGGCGTATAATGCCATGAACTGTCCAAGCTTCACCAGGACCGTGCAGCACCTACCTGTAATCTGTCCCCACTCTTCCAGGTGCGAACATTCTCACATTGTCGTCCAGGTACCAGCTCAGGTTCTCGTCCAGTACAGACATGTAAATATATAGCTCTCTCCTGACATCTTTACGTCTGCCGTAGGAGTCCAGGATTCCAGGCCTGGTGTTTCAATTTTAATAACACCAAAATGACCAAATGCATCGATAAGAAATAAACCATTGGTAGTCATTTCGATATTCGATTACCTATTTTATGTTTTCTATTTTTAAAACTTCGATAGTGCTTCAATTATCATGCAACAAATATATGCAGTTTAGTTGCGAATACAATTAAAGGACAATGTATCATCAAGATGACGTCAGTTCTGCGTCCTGTGATGACTCCTTCTGACACAAGGCATCGCATCTGACTTATATAAATAATTTTATTGCTAGATATATATGTTTGTCATACTTTAAATAGACTGTTAAATGCAGGGGTTTCCCCAGCGTTTATTTTATAAATAGCTTTAACTTTGTCTCTTGATATTTTGTTTATACTTAGATGTTTGACATACTGTAAATAACAAGTTTTATATGTGTCTTTTTTGATAGTGTCCATGACTTTATTTTCCCATTTTTCTTGCTCAATATCTTGGTTCGATATTCTCAGAACAATTAAAAAGATAATGTTCTCATAACCTGATTTCTGCTCTAGCATGTAAGACTGACGATTATTTTGTGTGTGTATTGAGTGAACTTTGTGACACGATTGGCCTGCATTGTTGTCATGTGGTATGGCACCACTTAATGAGTTGTTTTCATGAATGTTTAAAAACAAAGATGTGAATATTGGTTGTAGAAATGGAGTGAGTGATCGTGTGATTTGTGGTATAAAATGAATGTACAATGACGCATAAAGATGAGTTATTACACAGAACAAAGACTAGTCGGCATCGTATTTTACTATTAAAATTTCCTTGCATATGTAAACTACAATTTAAAACTACCAGTCGTCAACCAGTCACCCACCATTCACCAACCAGTCACCCACCAGTCGCCCACTCGGCACACGGCTACAACAATATCCAACGGTAGTGAGCCATCTCGTCCATTGCAAACTGTGTATCACCTTTAACTTTAAAGATAGTGAGACTCAACGTACCTGCAGACGACCAACGCACCCACAAGGCCAGAATTCTTGTCCTTCACGGGGTCGACATAAGATGAGTACAGCCAGGGGATACAGTTGGGGTCCTTGGCACCTGGGCCGGAACGTTCTGGTAGCTTCCAGACGTACACGAATGTTTGACCTGGTCCCACTTGACTTGCGCTTCCGTAGTCCAGACCGCTGGACTCCTGGCTGTGACAGATGGGACAGGTGTACAAGTTAGCGACAAAAAATATATTTTCAATTATTTAAATAAAAAAAAAATAATAATTTAGGTTTATTACTTTATTGGCGGTTCCATTGATAAAATTATTGATAGTTAAATTTATATTCCCATATGCAGATAAACTTTTTTTCTTCAAATATTAATTAGTTAAAACTCATATCTTGATGACATAGATGTCTCATCGTTTTGTTGCAGATGCCTACAACGTCTAACGATCTTCTAAAATCAATCTACCCTATATACTCCCATATAGGCCGAATTTAGAACTATAAAATACAATACTGAAATCAGGGGGGTCGGCTTATATGCGCATAAAACAAAATGGACACAAGTACAGACACTAATGCGAATTTTCCAGCCATTCATTTTCATCGCTATCTGAATCTTTATTGGGTTGTGTGTACAGAGTACTAATATATATATATATATATATATATATATATATATATATATATATATATACAGAGGTGTCACTTCAAAGAATTTAATGTATGCATAGCTGATAATTATACTGAGTGTGAAAGAGAAGAACACGTTTTTGTGTCATTCCAAAAGGTAAACAAACATGTGACATAAACGTAAGCATTTTACATCTTTACAGTAACACATTTCTATGAACCAAAAATATGGAGTAAAATTAGATAATTGAATGGTCGGCTAATATGCGGGTTTTTGCCAAAAACTGGCCATTTTAAAGCAGTTTTAGGAGGGTCGTCTTATATGCGATGTAGGCTTATATGCGAGTATATACGGTATATGGATTAAGTGCTAGTTGAAAATTATAGGCGAAGGAAATTCAAGTATAGAAAACCATAAAGAGACAAGAAAAATTATAAGTTAATTTAAATGAGACTCAATGAAGGACTGCGTTCAAGTTTTGTGAAGGAAATAGAAGAACAAGGTGTGTGAAATCTTAAAACAGAAAAACATGACAATAAAAGAAGTAATTTCCTGCTAAGTTTGAGTCAATTTAATTAGGTATCCCGGGGCAACGTGCTAAGAAGACAATATATGTCTAACATAAAGACTTGGTGATGTGTCATCTTGTGACATCCGGCAAGTCACTAACACGGTAACCAAAACTGATCTGCTAAGACGAGCAAATGTCTCCCTTAACAGTGACCAGACAAGCCTTACCTGTTAAGATCAAATGGGATTGATCCATAAAGAACGATGCGTGCTATGTAAATGTATACTAAAATGTATATGAAAACTTTTTACCAATTCACGTCATGGTTGCATTCGGACATATAAATACCTTGTCTGGACACCATGGGAATGGATTGAGTAGGGTCGGCTGGCGTTGTTTCTGAAGGTCACCCTGATGGTATCCCCAACTTCAGCTATCAGGGCCGGCCCGAGGATATCACGTGAACTTTCTATCGGATAGCTGAATGTCGAGTCGGTGTAACCACGGTAGATGACCTTCTTGTAGAGGTGACCAATGAACAGGTCGTCGTGTCTCACAAAAATACTGCCGTCGCTGTAGATGATACATATAGAAATACTGAAGATGATACATATAGAAATACTCAAAAATGATACATATAGAAATACTAAAAAATGATACATATAGAAATACTCAAAAATGATACATATAGAAATACTCAAAAATGATACATATAGAAATACTCAAAAATGATACATATAGAAATACTCAAAAATGATACATATAGAAATACTGACCAAGAAAAAAATATGCCTTCAATTCAGGTATTGGTTGATAACATTAGTTTCTTACATTCAGGTCCTGTCTTTATCTTCCAAACAGCCTAACAGGACAACAATTCTAAACATTGTTTTCAAAGTACGTTGTCGGTTGTTGTCGGTTGTTGTCGGCTGTTGTCGGTTGTTGTCGGTTGTTGTTTTCTTTTCTTTTTTTGTTATGTTTAATTTTAAAATAATGAATGTCAAACTTATTTCACATACATCTGATAAAACATGACCATTAATTTCTGAATGGGTTAATCCTTAGCTGTTAAGTCATTATAGTTTTGCCTCAGAGACTTAATTGTCTCAAATGAACCAACTGTTTTTTAAACAATTGTCAGGACAATGACTTATTTTAAGGTCCACTCATAATTCGTATACAATAGTCCACAATATGAGACCTGCACTTGCCAATAGCTTGTTACTGATTTAGGGAGGGGGCTTAATCCACTAATAAATTTCTCTTCAATTCTATTTTGAATTTTTGATGTTTTAAATTATAACAATGAAGCCCACAATACTGTAAAATTGGAGGCAGGGAAATGCGTTATAGAGAGGAAGCAAAAGAGTGTCCCCCCCCCGGGTGCCAACTTCAGAGGGCGCCGAAATTAACCTTTTTCATGCAAAATATGTGTAGCAACATACATATTGTATTGGAAGAGGGCGCCTATATTCATGCTCTGCCCCGCGTGCGGGCTTATGGCAGCGTGGTCCTAATCTGAACTAAAACATGACCCTATAAAGATTTCTATAAAGCATTTGGTTTGGAGTTCCTACACGTTGGGGTCAGTGAGGTTCTCTCCCGTCACGAGAGCCCTGGTCAGTGGCGCGTAATCCCATAGGACCTCCTCAGCTGAAATGTAATACTCCAAGATCTTCCCGTTATTCTTCGGGTCCCCACGTCTCGTATCGGCGCACTCGGAGACAGTGTAAAAGGCGAACATTCCATTCGACCTGGCGAACGTCGAGTCAGAGTAGACCATCCACCGTCCTAGAAAGTAGACGTCAAAAACACACTGTTAAATATAGTCATTGACCAATCAATACATATTGGTTTTAGAGATAAATTGGTGTAGAGACCATATGGAGACGTGGGTTTTATTTATTGTTGTTTTGTGACGAGCACTCTAAAAACAATGCTGCAATAAAAAGGTTTGTCATAGCCACCTAGTTTCTCCGACATTATTTCTAGCTACTTCTACTTTTCAATGTTGCCATGATTTCCACAGCAACAGGATCGACCATGGGGCAGGGACATAACGCATGGGCCATGGGGCAGTCACCTGATTGATGGACCATGGAACAGTCACCTGATTGATGGACCATGAGGCAGTCACCTGACTGTGATGGACCATGGGGCAGTCACCTGACTGTGATGGACCATGGGGGCAGTCACCTGACTGTGATGGACCATGGGGGCAGTCACCTGACTGTGATGGACCATGGGGGCAGTGACCTTACTGTGATGGACCATGGAGCAGTCACCTGACTTTGATGGACCATGGGGGCAGTCACCTGACTTTGATGGACCATGGGGGCAGTCACCTGACTGGGATTGACCATGGGGACAATCACCTGACTGTGATGGACCATGAGGCAGTCACCTGACTGTGATGGACCATGGGGCAGTCACCTGACTGTGATGGACCATGGGGGCAGTCACCTGACTGTGATGGACCATGGGGACAATCACCTGACTGTGATGGACCATGAGGCAATCACATGACTGTGATGGACCATGAGGCAGTCACCTGTGATGGACCATGGGGGCAGTCACCTGACTGTGATGGACCATGGGGACAATCACCTGACTGTGATGGACCATGAGGCAATCACCTGACTGTGATGGACCATGGGGACAATCACCTGACTGTGATGGACCATGGAGCAGTCACCTAACTTTGATGGGCCATGGGGCAGTCACCTGACTGTGATGGACCATGAGGCAGTCACCTTACTGTGATGGACCATGGAGCAGTCACCTAACTTTGATGGACCATGAGGACAATTACCTGACTGTGATGGACCATGAGGCAATCACCTGACTGTGATGGACCATGAGGCAATCACCTGACTGTGATGGACCATGGAGCAGTCACCTAACTTTGATGGGCCATGGGGCAGTCACCTGACTGTGATGGACCATGAGGCAGTCACCTTACTGTGATGGACCATGGGGCAGTCAACTGACTGATGGGCCATGGGGCAATCACCTGACTGTGATGGACCATGGGGAAGTCACCTGACTGTGATTGGCCATGGGGGCAGTCACCTGACTGTGGTGGATCATAACCCCGAGCCTGACTTCGTCTATTTAAGTTTCTAGTGCATTTTCGTCATTCGAAAGTGAGTTCAGGTGACGTCACCGTACCTGCATTATCCGGACGCATAGACAAAGTGGCTGTCACTCCAGGAACCAGACTCCGCCCATCTCTCCGGGTCCCCTCCTCCGTGAACGTGTTCCCATCGAAGGTGGCCGTGTGAACATCGATGACTGATCCAAGTGACATCACGTACCAGACAATGTCTTCTCCCACCGTCACAGACAGACCAGGGAGGTTGCCGTAAACAAAGCCATTGATGCCTTGAAATGGTTCATAAAAGATTGACATTATATGTTGTTTTATTCACAGTGGTGTGGACATCATCTAATTACAATGTTTCATTTAAACCAACTCCTAATACCAAAGTCTTTGGTATAAATCCTAAATAAACAATTTTGTTTGCATTTATGTAATTGCACGTGAATAATCTTTTATGAGATTGCAGCAATTGATATTTGATAAGGGAATAGTTTTTATCAAACTTTATATGTAACCACGTCATCTCCCATACCCAAATGTGTCACAAATATAAAGCATATAGCAACAACTACACATCTAATCTCCACACCAAAGCACGCACCCATATAACAAATCATTAACAAGCTCTCCTTTCCCCCAACCGCCCCCCCCCCCAATTGAAGAACAGGAAAACTTTCTCCCATACCCAAATGTGTCACAAATATAAAGCATATAGCAACAACTACACATCTAATCTCCACACCAAAGCACGCACCCATATAACAAATCATTAACAAGCCCTCCTTTCCCCCAACCGCCCCCCCCCCAATTGAAGAACAGGAAAACTTATCTTTGGGTTTGGGGTGGGGATAAAACTTTTAACGGATGTTTTTTTTTTAAATCGGCATTGTGTTTATGTGCCACGTTTCAGCTTGATAGGATGACGGGACGTGGGTCAGTTAGTCTTTCGAAGATTTTTTCCGCTGCTAATTTAAAAAGTATACTGTCTATCCATAACTCCCAGATTTCAGGCTTCCTGAGATTGCTTTCGATGTCGTGGTGAGGAAATGTGTCCTTGCCATCACATCATCCAATCAAACGTCCATACTTACCGAACTTCGTGTTGGTTGCCGTGGCGTCACTTCCTGTAGTTACATTGGGTGGAGGGTACAGCGATTTCTCCTCATCCATGATGGACAGAAGCAGGAAAAACTCACGTGGTTTGGACTAAGACGATAGAAACTTTGGAATGATTGAAATTGTCAAACATTTTTAATCAGCAATAAATAATTTATAAAAATATCAATAAAATTAACTCTCTAGGTGTGAAGCCTTTTTGCAATTACGAGTTCCAATGATCGCAAAATAAAATTCCCGATAACTGTGCTGAAAAGGATTATTACAAGTACCACATGGGCGTTTGGTGCGTAATATTTTCTGTTTGTTTTTTACGGAGATAGTCTCAATTTAAATATGATTTAATAAATATGCAAAAGGAGGTGGGGCTTTAGAAAATTTATATAGTTGAGTGGCGTGAAAAAAGTGTGTGTGTGGGGGGGGGAACAACTAAGCTTAAATAGCTGCTGACTTCCCAAACTCTTGCTTAAAGAACTCCTGATTTCTCAACTCCTTGCTTGACACTCAAACAACTCCTGTATTCTCAACCCCTTGCTTGACACTCAAACAACTCCTGTATTCTCAACTCCTTGCTTGATGCTTAAATACCTCCTTGATTCCATACCACTTGCTTGCCTCAAAGAACTCATTGATTCCCAACCCCTTGCTTGATGCTTAAATACCTCCTTGATTCCATACCACTTGCTTGACTCAAAGAACTCCTTGATTCCCAACCCCGTGCTTGATGCTCAAAGAACTCCTTGATTCGCAACCCCTTGCTTGATGCTTAAATACCTCCTTGATTTCCAACCCCTTGCTTAATGCTCAAAGAACTCCTTGATTCGCAACCCCTTGCTTGATGCTCAAAGAACTCCTTGATTCCCAACCCCTTGCTTGACGCTCAAAGAACTCCTTCATTCCCAACCTCTTGCTTGACTCTCAAACAACTCCTGAATTTTCAACCCCTTGTCTGACGCTCAAACAACTCCTGATTTCTCAACCCCTTGCTAAAAGCTCAAAGAACTCCTGCCTTCCCAGCCACTTGCTTAGAGCTCAAAGTGATATACCCGGTTGTGACCTACCTCTCCACTGTTCAGATAGCCCTTCCTGCAGACCAGCAGCGGTCCAACTAGTCCGGTGATGTGGTCACGCGTTGGGTCGTGCGCTGACGTGTACAAAAAGCTTTTACAAGGCTTTTTGGTGTCGTTCAGTAAGTTCTCAGGTACATCAAAGGTGTATGTGTACACCTGGTTAGGTTGGACAGATCCCCCAGATACACCTGGTCCGTCTGAAAAGAAAAGTTTAACAAAAACTATATTATACTAGCTGGGACAACGCAACCGCACTGCTTTAAAAATACGCTTAAAAATGCTTTAAATAATCTATAATAATAATTCCAGATGGCGCTCCATACATTTATATACCATTTAACATGCCTTTCAGGTGTCATCTATTCCTCTTTTAAACTGCCTTGGGATAATGTCATTACTGACAGAATACCTTCTATGGCGCTGGTATTATTGGTAAAATAATTCGCATAGACAACTCCATTTGTCTTTTCACTGTATTTACATTAGTTACGTCCCTTGGGGTGGGGATGGAAGATTTTAAAAAAAAGGGGGGGGGGCAAGATCAACTTGAGAATTATTATCTTCGATTAGGTTAGTTGATTTCATTTCTTTAAAAAATGTCCCAATGGAAATCAACTAATAAAATAACGTATACCACAATCAATGTTCCTTTTAAGCTGCGCGGCTGCGCAGCCGCGCAGCTAACTCATAGTCGCCGCGCAGCAGTATTGAGTATCCGCGCAGCTAACTTCCATATATTTGTGTGCTTGTGTTTATGAGCTGTAAAATTTTGCACACAAAAAAAAGTAATGCTGTATAAGTTTGCTCACAACCGTATGACTTTGCACACGAAACAGCAAACCTTAGAGGGTAATCGTTGGCCATAATGTAAATCTATGATATTCTTATTTTTTTTAAAGAAAGGCGCCAACACATTTCCTAAAGTGTCAAATGAACACACATTACAACACTTTTACAATGTTTTCATGAAAAGTGGAAGGTAATCAATCAACTTTCATATAATCACGTAGATACCCCATTATGGGCGGTGATTTCTTGTGATGGGCTATCGAAATGACTTAGTGGTCGGTTCGGGAAAAGGGAGACCATGGGGGCCACGGGGACAATTTAAAAGTATTTTCTTAAAATGAAACGTACAAAATTCGAAAAAACTTAGATGCTTGTAAAAAAGGGGGAGGGATGGCGTTTAAAACAAATTTAATCCCATAGGCGATTAGATTGTTTGTTTGGAGGGTTTAGAGAGTTTTCAAAACTCATGTTTCCCTTGAGATTGCAAAATGTTTATCGAACTAAGTAAAAAAAAATATTCTTAAACTTCTATTATACTTGTGTTACTAACTAACCTCCACATTCTTGCAGGCAGTGGATCAAGGTGTCTAATTTTTTTTCTTCTGCCACGCCTGGTGACGTCATTTATTACAAAACGTGACCCACTGTCAAATTATTATTATTTTGTTCAAAGTAGAAAAAACATCCAAGGAACATACTTCAACCGCCTAATGGTCGTTAAACTCTCTGACAACTAACGCTACTGTCACTCTCAGGCACAACAATCCATATCCCTCTGCGAGCTCTCAACACTACTGGACAATAGAACTTAACCCACTGACAAATCTAACGACAACTTTTAACATTACTGGTCAACATAACTTAAGACACTGACCACTTAAAAGACAACTCAACATTACTGGTCAACATAACTTAAGACACTGACCACTTAAAAGACAACTCAACATTACTGGTCAACATAACTTAACACACTGACCACTTAAAAGACAACTCAACATTACTGGTCAACATAACTTAACACACTGACCACTTAAAAGACAACTCAACATTACTGGTCAACATAACTTAACACACTAACCACTCGAAAGACAACTCAACATTACTGGTCAACATAACTTAACACACTGACCACTCGAACGACAACTCAACATTACTGGTCAACATAACTTAACACACTAACCACTTAAAAGACAACTCAACATTACTGGTCAACATAACTTAACACACTGACCACTTAAAAGACAACTCAACATTACTGGTCAACATAACTTAACACACTAACCACTTAAAAGACAACGCAACATAACTGGTCAACATAACTTAACACACTGACCACTTAAAAGACAACTCAACATTACTGGTCAACATAACTTAACACACTAACCACTTAAAAGACAACTCAACATTACTGGTCAACATAACTTAACACACTGACCACTCGAAAGACAACTCAACATTACTGGTCAACATAGCTTAACACACTGACCACTCGAACGACAACTCAACATTACTGGTCAACATAACTTAACACACTGACCACTCGAACGACAACTCAACATTACTGGTCAACATAACTTAACACACTGTCCATTTAAAAGACAACTCAACATTGCTGGTCAACATAACTTAATACACTGACCACTCGAACGAAAACTCAACATAACAGGTCAACATAACTTAACACACTGACCACTCGAACGACAACTCAACATAACTGGTCAACATAACTTAACACACTGACCACTCGAACGACAACTCAACATAACAGGTCAACATAACTTAACACACTGACCACTCGAACGAAAAATCAACATAACAGGTCAACATATTTCAACACACTGACCACTTAAAAGACAACTCAACATTACTGGTCAACACAACTCAACACACTGACCACTTAAAAGAAAACTCAACATTACTGGTCAACATAACTTAACAAACTGACCACTCGAACGAAAACTCAACATAACAGCTCAACACAACTCAACACACTAACCACTTAAAAGACAACTCAACATTACTGGTCAACACAACTCAACACACTGACCACTTAAAAGACAACTCAACATTACTGACTATAAATTCAATAACAACACAAACGAATTAGGCTCATACTTCTGTGTATGATTAATTACGCTCATTCTTGACTTCTGTGTATGATTAATGAGGCTCATTCTTGACTTCTGTGTATGATTAAATGGGCTCATTCTTGACTTCTGTGTATGATTAAATGGGCTCATTCTTGACTTCTGTGTATGATTCATTAGGCTCATTCTTGACTTCTGTGTATGATTCATTAGGCTCATTCTTGACTTCTGTGTATGATTCATGAGGCTCATTCTTGACCTCTGTGTATGATTCATTAGGCTCATTCTCAGTGTCCTGCTAGTGTAGAGTTTCAAATGTTTGAATTCACATAGGGTGACGTATGACACAGCTCTGTCTCAGATACCCCAATACACGGACATGTCTCGATAACATAAACCCACGTTAAATCTAAAGTAAACTGGTTTCACCGTACCCGTGGCTTCCTGTGTGACGTCATAAGACAGCCCATGGGGCAAGAAGGACACTGGGAAAGGAATCGTGTTCTTGAGTGTCACAATCAACCTGTCACCCACCCGTGGCTTCCTGTGTGACGTCATAAGACAGCCCATGGGGCAAGAAGGACACTGGGAAAGGAATCGTGTTCTTGAGTGCCACAATCAACCTGTCACCTACCTGTGGCTTCCTGTGTGACGTCATAAGACAGCTGATGTGGCAAGAAGGACACTGGGAAAGGAATCGTGTTCTTGAGTGTCACAATCAAACTGTCACCTACCTGTGGCTTCCTGTGTGACGTCATAAGACAGCCCATGGGGCAAGAAGGACACTGGGAAAGGAATCGTGTTCTTGAGTGTCACAATCAACCTGTCACCTACCCGTGGCTTCTTGTGTGACGTCATAAGACAGCCCATGGGGCAAGAAGGACACCGGGAAAGGAATCGTGTTCTTGAGTGTCACGATCAACCTGTCACCAAGCTCCGCCCTGAGAACTGGACCCAGGATGCCCAGGTGCTCCTCCTGGCGTGTTTGTGGAACTCGAGCACGGAATGCCCGGCTCTTGTACTGGACGAACCTGGCCTTCTTGTAGGTCATGCAGGCACCATTTGTGTGGTACGAAGATGGCACACTTTTTTATTTGGAAAAAATATTGGGATCGTTTTTATGAGTACAAAGGGGAAAAATGATTTCAACATTTAAAAAAAAATAAATTTAAAAAAAAAAAAATTGTATTTATGTTAAAGATTTATAGAGTTGACCAAGAGAAATGGTGAATGTGATAACTAGTTAATTTACAGGGATACAATGGTGATTGTAAGCCAATTTATTGAAAGGCAATTAGTCATCAGATACCTTTGTTCATGAATTCTGTGCCAGGCCCGAAAGCCAGTCATGTAGCCTTCATCCACCGCCTGTGTACTTTTGTTATTGGGTCGGTTGTAGTATTAACTTCCAGTGAGCTGTAACGAATGCTTATATTAAGTCATTTTGGCTCTCTTTAAAAAAAAATATAGGCGAGCTATTATAAATTTAGAGAAATCCGTAAGAGACCTTAACTTTGGTTGCCCGATTTCTTTCTAAGGCTTATGTAGCAAAAACACTATGTCGAGTAGGGGCATCCACTACTCATTGTTGCGCACGGAATACTGTGTTTTATTGTTTGTGCGGTGTCACCTGTGGGTTAGTTTAGTTAATGAACTTTGTTCCGGCAACTACGCTTGTGACGTGTATGGTGACGTATTTTTATCGCAATTGTGACGTAGTGTGTATATAGTATGTATTTGGTTCAGTGCTATTTGTTTGGCCGTTGGTGGAAGTAGGCTGTACTAGGTTCTTCTACTTGTAGATAGCTTCGTTATGTGACGCTGTGTAGAGCCTGATATATATGTTTCTGGATTAAACTTTGGAAATGAGTGAAATGAAGTATGAACAAAAATGAAGAAATTGATTTGTTTTCAAATGTCTTAAAGGTTACATTGCTATTTGGAGAAGCGGTTGTGATCAATTCGGTGTGATTACCGGCATGTGAACGTGTGCAAGAACTTGATGAAAGAAACCAATCACCCACGTATCGCGACATTCTAGGCTTTAAGGATTTCTTCCTGGTAGCTTTAAACTTGCAGAAGCATTAACAGTATGAAATTAAACACTGCTCAAAAATTCATACAAAACACTGAGGTTACAGATGGGATTTTGCGACATATGACATAGAGTTGTGTAATTGACAGAGACATAACCATACACCACGAGTATTTCAATCGGTTCTAGCTGATTGGTTTAAACAAAATTTAAATTATATTGCGTACTTTAAAAAAAAAATCTTTTGTGGGTTTAAAATACCTGTCACAAAATTTTAATTTTATAAAATTGGCAACCAGGCTAAGAAGGCAGTCAATGAGCTTTGATGGAATGTGAAAATAATGGGTTTCGGAAATGGGGCGGGAAAACCTTTCCCCAAGCTCCATTCACTCTAGCTACGCCCCTTATCTTTATGTGAATCGATGACATGGATTCATGTCATTACCTGGTTCCAGTCAAAGGTTTCCCTGTTTTAAGGTCAAGGCCACTTGGTGCATAGTTCCAGTCTATTTCCTCGGCAGCTAGGTAGAATCTGCGCACGTTTCTAGATTCTCTTCTCCTCGGTCTGTACTTATAGCATTCTCTCACTTGATACAAGGCGGACGTGCCCTCTGGGGACGATACACATCTAATACAATATTAAAACAAGAAACACCAACAAAAAAAAAGAAACTAAAGAAACTAAAATAAAAGGGTGACCAGACATATGCGCACAAGACAATTGCGCACACGACAAACGCGCACAGACAATCCCGCAATGACCCAAATGCGTACAGGACAAACGCGAACACCGATAGTTGCGCACACGGACAATGGCGCACACCGACAAATGCGGACACCGACAATCGCCCACAGTGACAAATGCGAACGGCTATATAAGCGCACACCGACAAATGCGCAAACTGACAATGAAGCTATAATTAAAACCAAAAAAAACATGTTTAAATTTAATTTAGTTCAAATAGTTTTCAGTACCAGAAAGGAAGGCGAAGTATGGACGAAAAAAGGAACAAAATAGACAACAAAAGAAATTGAATGTAAAATAATTCAGAAAAAATATTAAATGTCGAAATAATTTTTTCACTATGAGAGTGGAAGATATAAAACTAACTGAACCGTAGCTAACTGGTTTTAACCTTTAATTTTAAGTTTGCGTATTGTTCTAATGGTAGTTTAAATCCTAATTGCAAAGTTATGTGTAATAAAATATCAACAGTAATTTCATCATTCAATTAGGACTTCCTTCTACACTATAAATAACCAAGATTATGTACCTAATAAATCTGCGGGTTGAAAGAGGGGTCGGAATAAAACTACGTGTTAATCACTAATAAAAATTTTTCAAATCGGTTGCATGAATGCATGTTTTAAAACGTACTTTGCCTTTAGAAAAGTGCAATGCCAACTCTTATTTTAAGACTAATATTCCTCTTTCTTTTATTAAAAAAAAAACCACAGTTATTTTTAGTATAATGTATAAGTATACGTCTTATTTTCAACTATATGCTTAAGTAGTAGTACTGCTGTTATTTGTTTAATAATCATTTTACGAGCTTCCATCATACTACGATGGTTTAACATGCTGATTAAGACTTAAATATCCAATTAAAATTTTTTAAATGACATCTCTTAAAAATCATGACGTAGCAGTACTACTAGAACGAACATTTTATTACTATACTATTAGTCTATACATTTAAAAATTTTTTTTTTTTAAAATATGCATACAATTATTATTACATTTATTATGATTATTAATATATTGTTAGCTTTAAACATGATGTATTTTGGCTGAAAACCAACTAAGACTAAATCCATTATCATCTTTAAATTGGCGATGCATAACTTGCTATTTGCGCATTTGTCGGTGTGCGCTTATATAACCGTTCGCATTTGTCACTGTGGGCGATTGTCGGTGTCCGCATTTGTCGGTGTGCGCCATTGTCCGTGTGCGCAACTATCGGTGTTCGCGTTTGTCCTGTGCGCATTTGGGTCATTGCGGAATTGTCTGTGCGCGTTTGTCGTGTGCGCAATTGTCTTGTGCGCAATTGTCTTGTGCGCGTTTGTCACGGAACCAATAAAAGTTGCTCTTATAAATCGATTACACGCGTGTTGATGTCCTGGTACTCGCGCTATCATTGATTAAGAAGTGGTTATGTCAAATGGGTCAACTTCTGACTAAAACACGTTTCATATTTCCTTCATTTTCCACTTCAAAAATACTTTTTGATTATTTTATTTTACTGCAATGACTTTTGTTGATGGAGTAAAGCCGTAAAAAAAAACATCGTTTACTATGTGTTACACTGTATTATTTTTCTTGAGTCTTCGGCACCAGCAAGTATTTTGAGAATATTTGGGCATTGGAGGGGTAAGGGGTGGGGCTGAAAATTTGAGCAATTTTGTTGTCATCAGCAACGAGTCCACGCGCCAAGTTTTCAGCTTGATAGGGTCACTTAGCCTTCAGCAAATTTTGCCACAAAAGAAACACGCGAACAAAAGTAAAGTTAATAAAAAGGATTTAATTAGACAACCCATGAAAACAAAGTTTTTAGAATGAATCCGTTATGAAATAAAATTGGGTTGGGGCTGAAAATTTGACAAAATATTGACAAGTAAGGCACTTTATAATTATCCCAATTAGTGACAAACCGCCTCCCTTTCCACCCCCATCCCAAAGGCTCGCAACCTCTCATTTTTTTCAAAGACCTTGAAATCTATTAATATTATTACAGCCAACTTCAGAAATACAACCCAAAAAAAAAAAAATATTACGCACCAATATTACGTACTTGCGATATATTTAAAAAAAAAGAATCTCTTTTATCCCAGTTATCGAGAATTTTATTTTGCGAAATCAGTGGCGTCATATTTCCACCGGGGTCAGCTGGCCACGAACAATGATGGAAGTTAATCTCAAGCATTTGAAAATGCTATCTTGTTGAATTCGTCAAGAAGATGAGCGTGACGTCAATAAGACATAGAATTCAAACAAAAATCCATTAGGTCAATACGATTGTATTTTACTCCTTACGTTTCTGATACTCTCCAACCATGTCCGTGATTCGCCAGGTTCCAACAGCCGTGGGTGTAGTCTGCACGGCCACGAACGTGGCACTATACACAGATACGGTGTCACCCCTGGGGGGAAAAATATCAGTTTATTTTAATTTTAAAAAAAAACAACATCTATATATATGTATATATATAATTCGCCAGCAAAGGTCAAACAAGACGGGTCAAAAACCACGCAGGCTATTTATAGATACGCCAGAGTGTGGTTCAATAATGAGTTCGTAAAATATAATTCCCGATAACTACGCTAAATGATATATATATATGTATATATTTAAAGAACGCAATTGCGTTGGGTGCATACTATTTTCCTTTCGGACATCCAATCGTCTTAAGTTAAGTATTGTGTAAAAAATAGTCGGTTTAAAAGTGGTTGGGACATGAGAATATTAATATAGTTCATGGGCGTGAAATAAAAAGTGTGCAGTGACGTATCATGAGGAAGGGGTGAAGCAATAATTGGGATTATTTTAAATGTGCGTTACTTGAGTTCACGTTTTTGTCAAGTAACTTTATCAGATGGGAAGTTCACGCATTGCTGTCGCCAATGTTTGGCGGGCTGTATCTAGTATGTAATATTTCTGGAACAATAATAATTTTTTTTAAATTTAAGTTCCTTACAGAAAACCGACCTCTGATGTTGAAAGTTTAAATTTTGTCCATGAAAATGGAGAGAGTGGACGTCCATCTCATTACCGAAGCCTATGACGTAAAACTGGACACGGTCACCTAAACACACCTGAGTGTCAGAATTTAAAAAAAAATTAAAAAATATTCTTTTACAAAAGCGTAAAAAACATTGAAAATATCTTGGGAAACTTTTTGTTTACTTTTAATGTGCATTTGCTGTATAAAATAAGTTAACGTTGTGCACTTTTTGTAAAAATCACTTAACCTTGTGAACTGATTGTATAAAATATCATAACATTGTGCACTTTTTATATAAAATAACTTAACATTGTGCACTGTTTGTATGAAATAATATTGTACACTGTTTGTATAAAATAATATAGTGCACTTGCTGTATAAACTAACTTTAAATACGTGTCATTTTATGGTGCACCAATGTCAAGATTATATTACTTACTGGTTAGGGGTAAGAAATGCCATTCTTATTATATTCGCAATAATTTAAGTACATTGATATCATTATATCAGTATGACTTAGAGATTTAAGGCCTAGCTGTCCCTGCTGTGATTCAGGGATTGGAAAAAATTTATATGGAGTGGTGTATAATGTCATTTTTTAGAAATGTGATCTAAAATATCATTACAGTGATTCCAGCTAAGGTCCCGAATGACCTCCCGTTGAGTGACCTCTTGAGATTGCTGTCAATAAAGTCGGGATCGCTGTTCGCGTTGAGCTGACCACACAGGCCAGGGTCCTGGCAGAACGTGTTGATGTTGTCGTCAAGGTACCAGCTCATGTTTTCGTCCCAGTTCATGTCGACCAATGGGAACTCTTCGTCCACGTCCGTCCTTTCGTTGTCGCTGTTCAGGACACCTGGAGTAAGTTTGGATATGTAGCTATTGCTTTTTACACTAATAACTTTAAATGAGAAATTAAAGTTTTACTACTTTTTAAACGTATAAAATAATATTCAATCACCTTCCAATTAATCTTTTCCTATTCCTTATTTAGAGCTGTAAATGAAATAACCAAAGTAATTTCATTTTTGTAAAACATCAATACTCTCTATCTTATGTGCACTTCAGCTATAAACACCTCATATATTGACTGCATGTAGCAATGCTGTCCTCTTTAAGGCATACGGCACACTTCAAAACTATCATTACTGAATCTGTCGCATCTTGATTGTGTAATCGCGTTTGTCAACGGTGAATAGCCCCAGCTGCCGAGTGAACATACAAGTGAAAAGGATTATATGTTCGGAAGTTTTTGTTCGCAATGCGTCTCTCCGGGAAGGAAAAAGTATTAATAGCTGGGACCATCTCCGCTCATATTTAAGTGAATGCTGGAGTGACCTTTTTTTTTTGTGTGGTGATTTTTTTTTTAAGGAGCACGATCCATTCCGAGAGATAGTTTGTTTAGAAGGCACCAGGTTACATGGTTCTGGAGAGGTACTCTGTCAACGGATAGAACAGCTGATCGGCCGGTTACCGTTTGTGACTATCGTCGGAGAATCACTCAGCCCGATACAAATCTCAAGCCTGAGAAACCCAGCCAGAAATGTCCACGCTACATCATCCTGGCTCCACCAAGCGTTGTCCAATCTGTGCCAGATACAAAGATGCACCTACGTCCGTAAACAATCGTATTGGTTAAGTTCAGTTTGAAGGACATTCCTGACTAGACTTCATAGGGGCGAGCACAGCACCTTCTGGAGAACACGTGATTCTCATAATCTAAGGACTTACTCTTCCAAAAAAATGGATATCATCACTTACTTAACGGTAAAAGTTCGTAACAATAATAAGCAAAGCTGTGTTCCTTGATGTCGTCTGATGAAATCTTTCATGGACTTGTTCTGCCACCTTTATTCAAACACGCTCCCCCCCCCCCCCCCCCGTGTTTT